TATTTATTTTCAAATATATTCATGCATGCAAAAAGAAGCAGAGAAAAATCAAGAGGAGGACTTGATCTGGTCGAAGAGCAGTTGGTTCTGGTCTGGTTGGAGAGGAGAGAGGGTTTGTTGGAGAGAGAAGAAAAATCGAAATTTGGTTCTGATCGAAGAGGAGTGCGGTTGACAATTTCTACTTATTCTTATATCAATTCTATCGGTCGGACGTTTCAAAAATTGACTAGTGAATTTAGTGAATTCGGACATTTAGAAAATTGATCAGTGGTTAGTGAATTCAGACGTTTAGAAAATTGGTCAGTGGTTTAGGTCATATTAGAAAAATGGTTTTATTAGTGAATTCAAACGTTTATATGAGCAAACTTGTTTTCTTGTTGTTGGGTTTTAGAGAATGAGAAGCTTATAAGATGTTATGATTATTCCTTTTCTATGCGTCTCTACTATATACTTGAATGAACGAACGAGTTACAATATCTGAGACTACAACATTTGTTTCTTATCTCTTTTCACTTGTTTCAGTGAGGAAAAATGATTCGGTTGGCCATGTTTATGTCTCTAATGGTGTTAATTTCTAGTGAACCAGCATGCCAAAGACAATGTCGCAAAACATACATACGATATCCTTTTAACATTGGAAAGAATTGCTATCTGAGCAAATTCAGTGCAAGACGGATAGAAAAAGCAAATTCAGTGCATTTTTCTTAAGGGATTTTGTTTTTCTTGTATTTTGAGTCGTAACATTTACAGATTATGTTGGGAAGAACAAATTTCACTGCTCGAGTCTGACATCTTTTAAACTCTTCCACTATTTAGCTTTCGTTTCATAAATCAACACTCAAATTTGACTTTGGGTGAGTTTCACATAGAGACACTTTTCTTAAGACATCAGAAAAGTGTGGATGAATCCACATCTCCTTTTCTTCAATAACTTTAACAAGCTTAATTAGTTGATAAATTAGGAAAGTGTAATACTAACAAGTTTCAAAATATGAAAAGTTTGGTACATCGCTTTAAGGTTTTCCTATTTTAATTATACATTAAATTGTGCCTTGTGTATGCTTATAAATCAAGTTCCTTTTGCACTCAAAGTAACCATTATAAAAGGATCTGTGTGTGTGAATCAAACTCCATCTTCCAATGGCTTCAATAATATTTGAAGCTTGCATAGCCATTCTTTGCTTTTCATATTTTCTTCCTCGTCAAGAAACCCCACTCTTACTTACTCATCAAGAAAACTCTTAAAATCTATCCTTGGAATTGGCCGGTTCTTGGGATGCTTCCCGGTGTTCTCGTGCGGCTTGACCGCATCTATGACTGCACTACTGCAGTATCGAGGTCTTTGAAAACTCCAACTTGACGTTTCCATTCAAGGGCCCTGGTTCGCTGGAATGGATACATTGGCCACGGTCGATCCAGCTAATATTCATCATATAATGAGCTCAAACTTCTCAAACTACATCAAACGACCGGAGTTCCAACAGGTTTTGTAAACACGTCAAATCAATGGAGGAATCTGAGGAAGTCTATTCAGAAGTCAGATCATGTTCAACCACCAATGGTTTCTATGGCTTTCAATGATTACCGCAAGAAGAAAACTTAAGGACGGGCTTTTTCCTTTCTTCAATCATTTTGCAGAGGAAGGGAAGATCATGGACGTTCGAGAGATTCATGCTGGATACAACCTTTATTCTTGTAACTGGTTCGAATGCTAGAAGTCTCTCCATCGGTACGCCAAAAGCTGACTACGCAAAAGCTCTTGACGATGTTGGTTGTTGGAGAAGCGCTTCTTTATAGGCATACTTTACCGGCAGCCTTGTGGAAGTTGCAAAATGGATAGAAATCGGAAAAGAGAAGAAGATGATAAAAGCATGTGCCATTCAAGTTTTTGCGTTTATGGCCGGTCCAAGAACTTGTCTTGGTGAGAATTTAGCTATGAATTTGATGAAGACATTGGTCGTGGAAGTATTGCTGAACTATTAACTTTAAGATCGTCCAAGGTCAGAACATTGAGCCAGCTCCTCGTCTTATACTCTTCACATGAAGAATGGGCTTAGAGTTACAGCTTCTAAGAAATGAAAATGCTCAAGATG